CGCCCGGCGTTTGGTTTTCGACTGCAAATATCGTAATCTGCTAGTGTTGAGTATTACTATCGTACATGTCGTATAATCGAAAGAACCACAAGACAACAGGAACAGGATGATTTGGGAGCCCGAGAAAAGAGGCGAGACAGCGAATGAGCAGTTTTAAAAAAAAATAATCTCCTGCACGTTTTTTCGACTAGAGAAATGTTCTCCTAAATGCCCGGTCTTTCTCCTTCGCAGCGTTTTCTCCTTCACTGAGATGACTAACGATGCTCGCTTCCAAGCGCTACCTGCTTCCGTGCACAGATCCTACAGATGCAGCCGATACAACGTTCCACACCGGCTCCATTTGCCAGCCATACTTTACGCACTAACGTTGACTGTACATGGGGGCATCGATTCTTGTGACACCTTTGATGCCGACATGGACTCGTGTTCTTGAGATCATGTGACCAAGTTCGTCTCATTTGCTGCTGATGCCTTTGTTGGTGTCGCTGCTGTTGTTACCGCTGTTATCAGTGGCCTCACCGCTGGAGAGGTGGTATACGCTGGCAATATTAGGCCGAACGCCAGCAGTAGCCTTAAACCCCCTACCCCTTGTGTGTTTCACCCACTGCATTATGGTGATACTTTCCTTTGCAGTTTGCAATGATAGAACGAGTAACGAAGAAGACTGTCTGCCGGAAGTCGTAAGTTTGGTCCACGCTGTTCGTTCTCCATCTGCTATGAGAAAAAGCCGACTTTCACGAGCGGACGAAGGCGAATGCGGTTACGGCGGAACTCGTATGACCGAACTTGTACAACGCGGGGTGAAGGAATGATGCCGTTAGCAGACAGACTACTCACAGGACAGAAAGGACTGACAGCAATCTAGAAATGCAGCACTCCGTGCCCCGACGACGCATAGGCGGCACATTTGAATTTAATCAAATGCGCGTTGACGATACAGGACGAAAGACGACGAAACGGAAAAGCAAACGACGGATTTCCTATGCTTCTGTCGAGTTTGTGAAAGTAGGAAATACATTGACGCTGGAAAAGATTGCGAATATAAGAAAAGACATTGACATACAATGGGTAGCTGATGTGACAGTTACAATTAAGTTGTTGCAGTATGCGCATAAATTTTAGTAAACGTCAAACAAATACTAAGTGCGTTACGGTACGTCTGTTGTGTCTCCTTATTGCCTCATTCTAAGCGGAACTTACCGTTAAGTTTAGCTAATTTTCTATAGAAGATATATGATTTCAAGAAGTTCCTTCTACGGGTGAGCGATAGACACAGCACAGTCATTTGTGCTGCGTTACATCATCTTCTTGAAAGAGTATATAAGTCAAGCCGTAGAAACTAGTAGCCCATTTAAATAAAGTGTGTGAGTCTAGGAATCATCAAATAGCATCAACTTTTATGAATTCCTTCAAGTTATGGCCGCAAAATTCCAAAGGGTATGAGATATATATATATATATAGAGAGAGAGAGAGAGAGAGAGAAATGCTAAAGTGTTGGCCATGCCCATCGATATTAGCTGGGTTTATCATAAAAGCGTATTAATAAACTAACCAACGAGTGTTTTTGTATGAATATCTAGTACCACTATGTTTTCCAATATGGCGATTTTAGCACGAAAGCGTCAAAGAGGGAAATAGGCGTATGCATGCATGCATGCATGCTTGCAAACACAAACAAACAATATTCGTCACAAAAACTTCCCACCATCAATTGCTTATGTGATATAGTGATCTAAAACTTTGTGCAAAAGTCGCAATGCCAAATGAATTACTTAGCAACAGCGTCTATTGAGGAACCGTTTAGGTCTATGATGACGTATACACTACTTTTTTGTACTAACTTATTTATTAGTAAAGGCAATGAATACAGTGTAGCATGCTGAATCAATTTAGAATGCGTCAGAAGAGATAATCGTAGAAAACATCGGTGGGTAGCGAAAGCACTACGCTAGCAGACCGATCGTCTTTACGTAGATTTCACAACAGCGTATCGATCAGCAGCGCCTTCATGGTTCTTTATTCTTACAGTTTACCTTGATACATTCGCAGTAACCTCAATAGCCTTAAATCGCGATACTGTCTTGCAAACGATTTAAAAGCAATGGTTGCATGCACACTAACTGAATAGGTTATGTTTTCAGCAATCAGCACATATACATAGATATCTTTCTTGCATTTTCTTAAAATAGTCTCACACTCAACTTAACGATCACCCACACAGCATACGTACTTTTAGGGGTTAGCTAACGCTGACGTCTTTATGCATAGTCTTCTTACTGAAGACCCTCTGTTTTTGCGTAAACGACTTTCAGAATCTCAAATACAGATGCCACTAAATCACGGCCCCTTTTCAAGGCTGATTCCGCGCCTGCTATGGACCAACAATAGTGCGAAGCGTCTCAGTAGTTCCATAGCAGTTCTTCCAGTGTACGGCAGAAGGATAACATTTACAATACAGACTTGTGCTCGAGAATATACCATGGTTATTAATCGTTTTCAAGGCGTCGTCCTCCTCGGAAGCCTTTTGTTACGTTCAGCTCAATGTTGAACGTTGCTTTCCGAAATCTATTCTCCGGGGCGCGCCTGCGGCCTCATGCACTCGTTATAAGTTGACATCGGGTCGAGTGTTCTAGAGATCATGCTGTTTGTGCGAAGACCAAGCCGAGGCAACCTTCCTGGCTATCATACCGTGGCTGCGTCTAAACAGATCGAAAGAACAGGTTGCAACAAATAAGCAGTTTTGGCGAGGCTTATTTTCACAGCTCGAAACATCCCAAAAACCGTATTTATCTTTAGCTTAGACTAGGCCGAAACATCATCGGTCACCGTTGCGTTTTTCAGGCGCGGGAAAAAAAAGTGTTATTTTGCTTCAGCCCATTGCGAAAACGGTGTATGCATGCTATGCTATACAGTGTTCATACAAACAAATCGTACTCTTAAATCCTACTTGTTAGTAGGCAATGTTTTGGTATGCTGATTATATTTACTGGCAGCTGCCTGCAATCTTCAGTGCAGAACAGTCCCAGACAGGCCAAATAAACGTTTTAAATAATATTCACTTGAACAATAAAGAGTGATATTATGTTCAGAACGAACCAATTTAACTGTGAATCAATAGCCTAATCGAGAAAATGTACAATATCGACTCTTATTCTGCGAAAAATCCACCCTTGCCTCTATCATAAACATAGTTACAGCGTAAATCAATAAGTTAGCATTGGTTGAACAACAAAGCTTTTTTCTATCTATCGCGATTGCTATTATTATTTAGTTCGTATATTATATTATATGAACAGCACATTATCCACAAGTCGAAAAGATCAGCTCTGCGCCCCTTACGCTGAAACACTCGCCTCATCTTCCCAAAGCACTGCTATTGACTGCATCGAGTGGCGGGGTGAGTACTCGTCCCACTATCTAGCCGGCTATCACACCGTATTACTAAAGACCTTCATCTTTCTATTTCCTTCTCATAGCACATAAGGTTTGAACGTACACGCAGAGGCTTTCAGGCAAAGACGAGCCTATGGGTAGCTTGCGTGGAAGTTCATAACCCTGCAAAAAGTTGCTTTGCGAGTTGAAGGCGGCCGATGGGAGCTGACGGTTTCTCAAGCCTTCCAAACACGCCTCATATTCGACGTACATCAATTGGACAGCTGGATCCCGAACGGCTACTGCTAATGTGGGTCGGGCCCTTCTAGAACGGTGCGAGGCCTTATAAATTTACCGGTGCTGGATCTCGAGTTGGCTAACTATGTGCAATGGTCAAGGGTACGTCTGTGGAAACTGTAAGTATGGGGGCGGCTATCGATGCGTGGAAATGTTAGCCGATGGTGCACGGTAGGAGGTTCAGCATCACAACTTGTTCGACGAGCCTATACTACCAACAAACCAATTATGCCTAAGCGCTAATATAACCCTCGAACATTTCGTATCGCTGCGAGGCAATCCAATCAAGGTACAATTTGATGTACTTTCATTAATTACTACATTGTTACAATTTTTGTTATTACTATTACCTACAATGCCAAAGGGTTCGAGGTAATATAACGAACCGGGAAGCAAGTACGCCGTAACAGACGGTTCGCAAGAATCCTATTTTATACGATAGCGAAATAAAAGAATATCGATGCCTACTTTTCGGATCAACGTACTCAATGTATTGCCGATTGCTTAATTGGCTTTGCGTCGGTAGTAACTTTTCACCGATCCCAACCTCACATGGTTGTCATATTAGTTGTAAGTAGCTCCGATGTGCAACTATTAGGCCAAGTGCACAAAATACGCGAGAAAGAGTATAATTTAAGCAGGGCTTGCTATAGTCGAAACGGCATTAAATCAGGTGCTGACACAGGGCCAAGTATGGGAGAAAATGGTGTTAAAAACGCTGGCTAAGGTCCCATAGTACCTTAGCAAACGTTTAAAAGCATGCCACATATAGTTAAACAAAAGTTAACGTCTAAGGCAAGGCTTTTCATAAACATTTTTCGAAACGCAGCTCAACGCGTTTTCGAGCCAATGCTGCGCATGTGTTGCGGCCTAACACTTAAAATAATAAGTGCAAAATTAATATCATTTTGCTAAAAGCTAGAAAAGAATGCGGCGAAGTACAGTGGTGATTAACTTCAATCATCCATATGATTAAGTTAAGGCGGTGCAAAGTTCACAAGTGTTCAGATCTTTCCGAAGAAATCTGAAGAAAACCAATCTACTGCACCCGCACACCTTGTGCCAATAGAGTACAAAGCAGTTCTCTGAAATCCGGTGCCAAATGGTGACCTCGCCCCCCGAGTGCGCTCTACCTGGAAGCCGAGCTGTTGATGCTCTCCCCCCCGGGGGTCAAAAGTCCTTTTTTTTTTCAGAAAAAGCACTAAATGGTGACACAGTGCTGATTGAGGACTCTCCCTTTCCCAGCAAAGCGCAGCTTGGGTCACTATTTAACAACTACACGTGACCAGGCTTAAGCACACGGTGAGGATCGCTAAAGCTCTTCAAGTGTTTTTGCTTATCAGCAGTTAGCTAACAACGAAAACTAATATGCTGCCTAAAAGAAGGACTCTGTGCAGTAAGTATGCATTTAGCTACCGTATTTAGCAGAGATGGAGGCAATTTTTCACACAAGTAAAACGTTCAGATGTATACTATTATGTTATCTGAGTATTGGAATTATATTATATAACGCGAACAGCGTGAAAAACTCGGTGCTGACATTCGGGAATGGTTCGCGACAACGATTCAACAATGTGTGCAAGCTAACAGTAACTATAACAGGGACGTGTCCTTCAGGTGACAATCAGAGCCAAAAGGCCTCTATCGATTTGGCTTTTGGCCCTTCTGTCAACTAATCGGTTTCTAACTGTCAATTAACTGATTTCTACCGTGCTTAGAAAGGACCTTTGCTATTTGTTTGGTTTTGTTCATTGGCAGAGGTCGATTGTATTAAACAAATGAATTAGTAAAGAAAGAATTAATGAATGTTTGCGTCAGTTTCGATAGGAGATAGGGATTTTAGAGGATAGATTTTAATAAAGAAGGTATGTTACGTTAAAAATGAAGAATTAACAGTATCTTCTTTCAGATCGCAACGCTATAACGTGGTTGTCTTTTGACTAGTTACCATCTAACTGTACTATATAATATAAACAATTACGGTAATCATCTCCCGCTTCTAGAACGACGATTGCTAACATCTCAGGAGAAACAGATTTGCGCTAGGGTGTGGTCAATACGGTTCGATAGAGGAGAAGACTGGGCGATTCGGCAGCTGGAGGCCATTGACTGGGACGTTGACCTGGACGAGGTGAAGATTGACGCAAAGGCAAGCTCGCAAGGCGAGATCAAGATAGCTGAATTGGCTCGCAAGTTCGGTAAAACGAATTCCGAGGTATGGGAGCTCCTAGATGAAAACGAGTGGGACATTGCTAAAGTACGGGATAGACTAACTGCGTCGCCCGCGAAAAATCGAAATGTCTATGAGCAGGTTGATGACGGCTTACCTGACTGCCCAGCCATTGATGGTTCGGCTTTCAAACTTATGACGTTTGCGTCTCGCATGAAATCGCGATTGCAGTTGCTGAAGAGGAGGCTAGACTAGTCAATAACACTACAACCTTATACTTTAATGTTTTGAACAATTATGTAGCATAATAAATTTGTAAATACATATCTACTGTGATTCTTAATTCGCACGTCTATAGATAATCCCTATTCCATATTATAGGAAATGGGGTTTGGAGTGAGATATAGAGAACGATATTATATAGTAACGTCAAAGCACGGTATGAGCACACAAACGAGACGCCTTTAAACGTGGGCCAGAATTAATTTGCTCCTGCTTTTTACTTTATAGATGGAGTAGAAATAGCTTACAGCGCATCAAACGTTTATAGTGTGATTAGAAAATCTGTTTTTTGTCTTTATCTCGAGAGTAATGAAGTTATATGCTTAAGTTGCACGTATGAGTGTGACAAGGTTTTTCCTGCCTTTAAGATCTCATTATGAATATTTCCTCTCTATTGGAAGAAAGTCTAGAAGCCATTCTCCTAGATCGATATTGTAATTTTAAGCAAAAAACATTTCGACTGATTAAAGATTTTTTGGCATTAATTAAATCTAGACCGCAACGATCACCGAAAAGTTTTCGCCGTAGCAGAGCTTGATCCATCTTAAAGTGTTCAATTCTTTTGAGTTTAGTCTTTTACATCTTGTTCGATTGTCAAACACTGGTCAACATTACTAAAAAAACATGTAATTAGCATAAAAAAAAAAATCGGCTTTTAAGAAAATGGGGCAGAATTAATTTTTTAAAAGAGAGAGGTCTTTCTAAGTAAGACGGCTTTTGGATTTTCCTTCGATAGTGAATAAGAAGCGTCGTAATATTTACAACATGGTAGCTAAAGAGAATACGGTCCACGACACGTATATCGAGATCTGTAAGAACATTTCAATGCTAATTCTTTAGTTAACTCTTTGAATGCCGTTACCAACGTCAAAAACATAAATAAAGTCAACATCCACTATATACACAACCGTATACTAGAATGTCTACAGATCTGACAAGCCACAGTTACTACACTGAAATTGTCGCGCAGTAAAAATAACTTTCACCCCGTTAGTCCTCATGAGTTGAGGTCCAACTGGTGCAATGCGCTTGTCCGCTATTTCTAGAGCATATGCAACTCGAAGTACGATTTAATAGTTTCAGTTGCTACAAGTTACATGGGACTAGCCGAAATCGAAGCTACCGAGAGAGTTGTGACACGATAAATTACTTCTCCGCTTAACCATGAAGAATAGCAAAATCACTTGAGGGCTGGTGTAATCTACATTAATCCTAGTTGTCGCCATCTTGTAGGAGATAGAGGCTCTTCTCGATCATCGTTCCTCAATGGAAGTTCGCCGGTCGTTTGGTGCACTCTACACGTCCAGTAATGGTGCCATTCCGTTCGCTGTCAGCTGATCCTTGTCTTTGGCCCTTTGCACGGTTGCGTTCACTTATTTCCTCAGATGCGCTGATCGATCCTAGCTCTACTCTTCTTTAAGCCCTCGTTGCCGTTTTTGCTTTCTGGAGTAAATAGGTCAGCGTGCTTTGTACGATGCATAATAATTTCCAATATATTTGGTGCAGTGGTTGGACTTCGGATAGTCCGTAACTGTCAACAGGCAGTCGGTCTACTTTGCGCTAATACAACAGGCGTTAGCTTCTTGTACCGTATAGCATTGACACAGCCATCTACTTAACTGCATTTGACATTCGGTGACTGGATACGATTCCAACTTCAAAGGATCTCCCGCTGAGCACGTTGAGAACTGAACGATGGCTGTGAGGCGTTCGGATGGGTCGTTTGCGGGGTGTCAAGTCAATGGTACCCTTGCCGGACCTCATCAGACTAATGACGCTATCTTTAGGCGATTTTCAGGTGGGTTATATCGGTGGCCATTCGGTGGATGAAGTTTTTTAATGTCTTGAAGTATTCTTTTTTTTTCATATATACTCCAGTTTCCGTTCCCAATGCCTTTAAACTAACTTCTACTACAGATCTGGCTTGTAGATGTAAAGTAATTTACCCCATTGGTCTGGGAGACAGAGAACTTCATAAGATAGTATTAACGCATTGGCCGGTGGCGGCCTTTTTACTGCTTTTGAAAAGAAAGCCGAACCTGCCAGTTCAGAGATCTCATTTGCGTAGAAGCTATTCATAATGATCCAAGTAACGAAGGAACTGAACTAGCTTGCTGAATCAGGCGGCAAAATTTCGAAATTCTGTTTCCATAATGGACAATCCGAACATACCATCTTTGAACTGACATGTCACAGCAAACATATAGCGTTCTTTTATACACGCTCATTCAGCTTTCCGTAAGCCGCAGTGCTGGCCTTTTTTTTTCTAATCGAGATTTGTTGCTGCTGCTGTAACAAACGCGGCTTTCGGTATCTCAAAATGTAAAGGAGCCGCCCCGCCACTATGCGCCCTTTTAGCAAGTGAAACATTTTTGGCTTACCTAGGAGTTTATTGTACATATTTGGCTCCAGTCTCAATCAGTCGCACTCTACAGTTTATCCTATTGACGATCCACCAGCCGGCCAACTTTCCGGAGCCGATGATGCTGAGGAAACCGATAAGATTGACCAAATCAGTGAAGCCGACCCTAATTCTTACGATCCCTTTTTGTCCACCGCATCGTTTCTGTTAGCCAAGTCCGCCCCTGTTTACCGCGTCCAATATCCCTATTGCTTTGATTTACCTTTTTCGTAAGTCTCAGTGACTGCTCTCATCTAAGTGCCTCGCTAAAGCACCCTCTCGACGCTTACCTAGTTAATCGCAGCGCCACCACTTGGCAAGGCGTCGAGTTCGTCTAATTCTTGCCCGGCCTCTTCTCTAGCTAACCTTTTGCCTGCCCCTGTTTTCCCGTTATCGGCTTCTATGTAAATTAAAACCGGTTGTGCGCTGCGACCTATTTTCGTTTTGGAACGTAGAGAAGAGTAGTTAGGAAAAATATAAGCGTACCCGTATATGTTTTGTTTTTATTTGTTTTTCTAGAGTGGCTAAGCACAAGCTACATTCGTTACTCAAAAGGCTTATGATACCCGCTTTAGATACAGTTCCTTGTAAAGCTGATCCGTCGTTTTACTTTAATAATGCTTTAATGCATCTAACGATTCTTAGACGGTATTACAGTCATTAGGCCCCTGGGTTTCACTACGTAGAATATAACCGTTAGGATGAAATATTGTAGTGTTTTGTTTATGGGCTCTACGCCCGATTGGAAGTTGTTAGCACTTTTTTTCTTAAATTCAGTTCTTCGTGAAAATACTTAACACAGACGTTCTAAACATTATTCATAATTAGGTTTAGTTTGTACAAGATCCCCTCGTAAGCTCTCCAGTCGGTAAGCATTTAAGCTAACCCGAACAGGTCTGCGGTATACTCTATATATACGAATGAAAATAGCTCGCCTAGGTCTCAGTAGATATGTTTGCGGAGGGTTGGGCATTGATTAAATCCGTTGAGTACTATTAACCCGTGAATTATTAGCTGAGTCGCCGTTCGCTTTCAACTGGATCATAGGTGTCTCATAAGCCGCTTTTCTCAAACTTGAGACATATGCTTTTCATTCGACCATGGTTCGATTCTGATAGCGAAAGTCATGATGAACTTAAGCAAGCACACATATGAGGGACACCCTTAGGTTGTTCCAATTGGAATACCGCCGAGGAAACCCGCGACCAACCCAGTTATCAGATTTATTAAATCGTGTAATAGTCCTTTATGCCAACTTCAGCAGTAAGTTCCATTGCATGAAATTTTAGTTTTCGGATTTTTCTAATCGAAACAAAGTAGAAGCAAGCAAAGAGGACAACGTACATCGAAGTTGCGCTTTATGAATGCGAACGATATCCTGTGATACAATCGATTCGGATTCACATTTAGACGATGAGTGGAAACACAATGGTAAAATATCCGGTAAATGCATGATATCTAAGCATCAATAATAAATATATTTGTACGTGAAATTCATAGCTATCTAGGTATAGCTAGGAGTCAAGTTTTGCTAACCACAAGTTAGTTTATGTCATCTTATGCAATGATCAATTACAATTGAGTCGAACAAACTTACGCCTTTTAGACCCTACTTCGCTGGCAATTTACTGCATAACCTCTTTAGGATGTTTCACTTTTAATCCCGTGGACCGCCATAAAATTTAATGGCCTCATGTGGTCCCTCGGATAACCGAAGAAGTAAGCCTAAACTTCGGATAATTCCAGCAGTTGCATCTAGAAAGAGAAATCCCGAAGTGCGGGCGCCTTATAAGCCTTACAAATTTTCTCAAGGCATTGAGCACAACAACCTTTTCTCAGGTATACATTGCAGCCTCGTGCCAAATGCAATTCGTCAACCACTTCCTAATGATTGCTGAGTGTATATATATATATATATATATATATATATATATATATATATATATATATATAGGTTAGTACGTTTTATTGACGCAATGTGTGCCATCGTGAATTTATTTACTCACTGTAAGCGCTAAACCCTTTTAGAATCACTATTAGCCTTGTAATCGATGTGTCGCTTGTAACGCATGGTCAACTTATTTATAAATTTATAAATTATTCCTCATACATCATAGCATTTGTTGCACCGCTAAAGTCCACCTCTCATATAGTTCATTGTTTGACTGGAGTTCTGATCAGCCGAATTTTTTTGAACCTATTATTGTTTCAAAGCAGGTATTCTTTTCTGCTAACATTTCTGACGATTTCCTGGTACGTGGTAAATATATTATATGATGCCGAGCATGAAAATCCCTAGACAATACCGCAGAACATCGAGTGACATCCAACATCTGGACAATCTTCACACAATCAGCTTTAACACTGAATAATAGTTCCGGGTTATACTCTCTTGGCCTGACATCGACTTCCACCCGTTTTCACGTAGGTTTAACTTAGTGAACTTAGCTGATGGACGAAACCACGCTTGTTATATGAGCTTTCCGAAAGTACTTACTTTATATGTATTTTTTATGATAACGAAAGCTAGAATTGAAATCGATAATCATATAAATTGATCGACAGAACCTTCGTTGCTATCTTATCGATTAGAACTTTAGTTATGTCTTGTAACGTTGTCGAGCCAATCTCTAATCAAGACAGATATTGGATAAGGTCCAGGTGTGCGAATATTTCACAGTCTATCCCTTTATGATCATTTTCAGTAAAATGGGTATACGGTAAAATTGCTTTTTCAACCTGAGAGCCGCAACGACGGCTCGTTGAGTTGCCGAAGTAGTGCCGCGGTCCATGGGATGATATAAGATAGAAAATGCAAAATGCGAGCAGATAACTTTGTCGTTACCGTTTTTACCATTCAAGGTCATGTTAGCATACTGTTTGGTTGTTTAATCACACCTGTCATTTAGTATATGTCAAATAAAATGCTGGACTTTGGATGCAACTGAAGTATTCGCCTACCTAGCCTGCAAATGTAATCTTCCAGGCATGGCATTACTTCTGTGATGATAAATTGCGCGGTAAAAATTGACAAAAGGCGGTTGTCCGCCTTAAAAATCACACAGAACCTCTGGTGAAGCAGACAGCGAAAACAGACAAAGTGTACAGTCTGTAAAAACTAAAAAATTCAAAAAAGCAAATTCGGTTTTGGGTCTATTTGAATCACAGTCTGATAATAATAGCCCAGTTATCCTATTCCGGTAAAATTATAAAGAAATGTTTTCTAAATGACCAGGCCCGAAAAGTGGAAACTGAACCAACATTCTGTCGCCTTTAATAGTCGGCGGACATTACAGAGCACTTACAATGTAGCAATGATCATGGCCCTTCTAGCTTGGAATTAAAATACACTCAAATTTCGATTCTACGACCATAGTCTCCCACCTTATGGGTCTATATCGTTTCTGTTTCATCGTTCAAAGACAAAAAGGAAGCTTCACAAAAAGGCAGAATAGCAGTAATGTTCTTTTCGGGTATAAATATTCGAGTTCCTTTTTCGACATATCAAAAAAAAAAAAAAAAACAGAAATAACATATAGGTTGGCAAAGAGGTTCCTGAAACGTCCTAAAATAGGAACTTAGACAACAAAAAAAGAGATCTATGCCGCTGTTTTTGTATGTACAAGGCTTTTGCAGACTCATTATAGCAGCTGAAACTAGCCTGGTAACCTCTAGGATGCAGTTTTTTTTTGTTTGTTACGAAAAGATATCCGTGTTGTGAACTGCCCTTATTCATATAAAACCTAAATGTCAATATAATTGGAAAACGTAATTGAAGCCTATATCTGGTTTACAGTAGCAGCTAGAGATTTCTCTATTCGTAGGATATGCTATGTTAATGCAAAGAAAAAGTGTATATCGATCTAAACAATATCTAAATAGCCCGACGAATTTGCTCATAAAGGGTAGTCAACCACTAGCAGACAGCTTCTCGAAGATTTCAATGAGTTAATACGTAGAAGTAATAATTGTTGCGTGTTTCATTACTCTGTCACTTATAAACTAGCAGTTTTGTATGCCTCTTGTGGCTAGGTATACAAATAAAAGTTCAGGACACGATAGATTCAGGCGAAATTAAACTAAGCTATCTGCTTTGTTTGTACGGAAAACTTTTTTGGTGAAATCAAAAATCGTCGGCAGTGCGATGAAAAAATAAGGCCCGTCCTGTTCTATTTGCGAAATGCCGTACGAAATGAAAAATGATCAACTTTGAAAAGTAGGCACCAGTCTCTTTTCCTTTTGGATCTAACAATAGTAGCCGTGGCACAAGCAAATTGTACAAATAGTAGACGGCCGTGGCAGCAAAGCGATAGGTCAGTAACTGCCGTCAAAAGACACCGGTGCCTTCGCTAACATGCTCCTAGTTAAGGTCCACTAAAACATCTTTTAAGATATCTATGATTCTAAGCTATAAAGATTCTACTGAAATACGATGTTGAAAAGAAATGTAGATAAGCGGTTGGCCTCTTGCAGTATAGAAGTGATAAAACAAAATGTATTAGCAATTTGAGGCTGATGTAATAACGGGAAGCTGCACTTTGCGATTAAACGATAGGCCACACCGAAATAATCCCGGTGGTGCTAATAATAACGGTATGTAGGATTATGTATTGCAAAACTGTATAGAGGTATAAGAGAAGAATGGAAAATTAGCTGGTGGTGATCTTGGCGGAATAAAGTCTACCTGCCGGAACCCAATCCCACATACATTCTTTCATGCTCGATAAATAGTACGCCGTCAGGCCCAAGTGTCCTATACAACATCACTCAAACTTTTTTGAAAAAAGGAACAAACGTCTACGTAACCATTACTTAGTTGGTTTTAAAGATAAACATACCTGTAATTATTTATTTACTAACAGCAATACTATGCTGTATACAGGCGGCTGTGAATAACAAGCTACCGACCCACGTCTCTGAGACGACAAGGCGGGTCTCGATATTCAACCCTAGCCAATTCCCTTCCATTTACCCTACCAAGCTCGTATTTCTTAAGATATTAAGAACCGCAATAGTTTTTTTTCGGAAACAACGCATTGACAACGACAGCTGCCTACGTTTGGGAGCGCTTGGGAAAGACGTATACATTCTACATAAGGCTGCAACTTGCGGAATATCGTGATCGTTAACGGATTTTGTCTTTTTTCGGAAGCGGCGAAGTCACCCGGCTGCAATGGATGTCCACCGATATGTATTAGGACGTACAAAACACGCTCTATACATGCTAGGTAAGTGACTTTTCGTTTTATCTTGTATATTTTTACGCATTAGATACAAAGATTTTTCTGTAGGTTGAGAATTTCCAGGGAATCGAAGAAGCAAGGGATGACCATAACGGTTTACGACTTTGCCAATGGCATTTTAGCAATTAAAGGCTAAATGTTTTGAGCCATTCACCGACGATCGCTCTCGTTTTACCAGTGTTAGTGCTATAAAATGATTTAGTTTAGCTGGGGCATCTATGTTGAAACTTGTCGGTGGCTCTAACTAGCTACTATACTGTCGCAGCTTTGAAGCGAATCGGCGCTACACGAATTACGATCTTTGGACAAGTAACTGGACTTCTACATTTACCTATTACTATCAATCTATTGGATATTTGCAGCTGTCCACTAAACGATGGGATTGGTGAACAAAATCGTTCTTACTTTAGCCAGACAGTGTTTACGTGTGTGTATGCGTCTACGAAACAAGTTTGAAAACAATCCAAGAAATAGACTAAGGGAATTGCGCTGGAGACATTATATACGTCTACATGGTGAAACACTCATAAATAGAAAGAGATACACGACAAAGCAGAAATTACTTGACCTGTGACTGAAGTTTCAATCTCGCTACGTACGGCACGTAAGTATTGACTAAATTTGTTGAGTCACTTTTTTGGTTGGATGAGTTTTTCGGCAAGAAGCTCCTCTCTCTTCCATGGTTTGCTATGTCAGCCTGTGGGGTACCATTGATCTGAACCGTCCTGTGCCCACAAACCCACTATCGTACCTAATACAAAACTATGCAAAAGGATTCTGTCAGTGTTTTCAGACATTAGATGCGATCAGGTGAAGCCGAAAGAATGTCAGAAAGAAGATTTTGTCGAAGAACGTTAAATTTCGAACGTGCAGAAGATCACGTAATAGACGAACGTGCAGTTAGACAGTTTGCTACACGTAACAGTTATATTATTCTGGGATCTTGGCTAAGCAAATATTTTTAGCATCAATACGGCTAAATGCGAGCAGTTGTGTTGCGGAAGGATACAAATGCATACACTTATATACGTACCCTACCCCATGATAGTGCAGTGAATCCATTGCTCACTACTCCACCCTAGCTAAGCGGCGCTGGGCTCGCGGTGGCCCAAACATAATCAAGCGCTGCCCACATTTGCTGCCGCAAAGAGATTTCCGCTACTCGAGCTCATGACTTACTGATGCAGCCTTACTGAGGAATCACCAGGCATGCTATATACATTAGTTTTATAAAATAGCTAAAGGAGCGGAACAGGTGTTTGAAGAGAAAATTGTTATTTACATGAGTGCGCTCTCGAAATTACGAGCGACCGGCCAGATTGCAGACATAGCGACATCAGTAAAAAAATATCTTCAAGTAACTACAAATGAATTTCCATGAAATCGTTCTTCAACACTGGTAATTGGCTACGCGGATTCAGATTTAGTTAAACTTTCAATAATTCATAGCTGAAGTGTATATGCACGTTTCAGTATAACCCGTACTTAACATTAGCCTGACCTTGTCCCCTAAATTAAAAAGTAGGATAAAGGCAAGCCCAAATAAAATGACCGGCTTGAAGAAATCTGAAAGACTGATACGAAAATTCATTGAATTAAGACTGTGAGGATACCTGAAATAGGCTTTTTGGTATCCAGTGCTTGGTAAAAACATTCAATGAAACATTATCAAGACGCCGATGATGACCTTATACGATCAGGAAGCTTTTGTATCAAAAATTCCTTTCGCTGTTTCAAGAACATACCCGATAAGAGACCAATGAATCAATTTTGCCTTAGAACAGCGTTCTGGGTACAGTGAGAAAGCTGTAAGATAAATTTAAAGTCATCATAATTTCACTAACTTCTTCAATTATTGCAGGCCAGTCTTTTCTACGATACGAATGGACGACCATTTTCTACGTCCCTCGTTGGCAACAACACATTTCCACCAATTCTATATTGACGGACAATAGTCGTCCAAGTTACGTCACTACCCTGCGAACAGTAACAAGAAAAGACGGCAAAAGTTAGCAGTTGTGATTACAAAAAGTGAGTATTTTTGCTAAGTAAGTCCAAGTAGCAGAAATGGTAATCGAAAAAAAGACCATGACCCAGACCTTACAACTTCAAAGTTGTGCATATTAACGAACGAAAGAGTGGTGTCGACAGCCAATTTGCACGCGCGGTTGATCCTGACTCCAAGTCCGGCCTATCCGGCTGGATCCAGTGGTCGACACGGCGTAACCTATGCGCTCGTTGTCAACTATCGTCGCAATGGCATGAATACTGTCGAAACTGTGCCCGAGCAGGCTCAGCTGAGTCATCCATCACTTACAGCGTCGGACTAGCAAATAGGTAGATAGGCAGCTAGGCAACGCAGCGTATTATAGATTTTCGAATCTAGGTTAGTATGTTGGGTCAAAGTGTTTTGCTCCGGGGCACCTGCTGCGACTAGTGACACTCGAACGGCAGGATCAGGGGTCAACGCCGGCCCAGAGGCTCTCTCTGACCGTTGCTCCGGAGCCTAAGCAAGAACGGGGGCAAACGCTGCCGAAGGCTTCCCCTCTATCAGAAAAAAAGAGCCAAATAAGGGAGAAGCTGAACGAGCAAATAAAGTACGGTTAAAGAAGTGAGGAATTTGTCCACCTAGGTAAAGAATTCGTTTTGTTGGTCTCACAATAATTTTAAAACGGAGGTGCAGATTTAAATGTGTATAGGTGCTCCAAATTCTTCATTTTCCAAATACGATTTGGATATAGATGTATAAACGTAAATTGATAGGACTGTACAAAAGTATCTGTTAATTAAGCAATCGAATTAATTAGTGGGTGGGTTATTGAGCAGTTAGCTTGATAGGTTTGCGCCCAGAGGCGGCAGATAGAAACCAACGTAAATGTGGATATAATGCCCAATACGACAATAAAATTCATTGTTGCAATCTGCTTCACTAACAGCGTAAAAAATTATTATTTTGCTGACGAAAATCCGTGTTGGTGCATTTAGTGTCTGCTACTAGAAGGGCATTGTATTTTGTATATAGATACCCTTATCCATATAACCAAAACTAATGAAATCAGTGAAACAAACTGTAGTCCTCACATACATAAAAGTTTTAGTGAACTCATAGTGATAATAAACAGAACCTTATATATATATCTGCATTATGTAATATTTCACGTTATCAGTGTGATGAAGATCAGAAACAAACCTTTCTAACGACGTAGAGATTGTCTTCTTTTGCAGTACAATATGACCAACTTTCAGATATAATAAGATGAATAGTTTGAGCTTCGCTTTCATACACACAGCATCAAGTTTTGAATGAATACATCTCTGCCGGTAGGATTAGACCCGAACGTTTTATGGTCCTCTTTTGTTCATTACCTAGAAACGAAATCACGGGGTCACTATCAGCAATGCCGGCCACGCCAATGCTGTTATTATGATTGCCTATTCGAAGTCGGCGAATCGATTTACACAGATGATCGTCCGATCGCCCCGTCGGCCGACGGTCATCTGGGGGTTTTGCGTCGCGTTCACACCTCTACGTATACGCGTTTCCTGCGATTGTAGATCAATATGGTTATACGACCGCAACGCATCCACGGTGGGTTATTCCGACATCGTTACTATAACACCTTCATTCCAATAATCCTCTAGCTTGATTATAACGTAACTAAACCTCTATGTTTCGAGTTTTACGTCCGGTACCGCCGTTAGGTAGGCATTCAGTCAGACTGCTGGCTCCCAGCATGAAACGAAGTCTGTCTACGCCTGGGTTCGAACCTAGACCACAGTGTGTCCCTAAGGTTAGCAAGTAAATAGGCAAACTCACTAACGTAGCTAAATCTTGAATAAGGTTAAGTCTCTCGGTTATTAGGATGAGAGTAGAACGCAGGAAACTATCGATCGCAGCTCTAGTACTGTTAGTAATTACAAGGCAGTGAATACAAGCTTCAACCACACGGAGAACTGCCCCTCTGCCCCATTGGACCGTTTCTTCGTGCTGTGGACTTTACCGCAGGATGCTTCACGCTCAAACTAACATTCCCGGTATGGCCTTCTGTAGGCGTATACATCGCATGCACTGATGGCGGACAACGTCTACTTGCCGGCTTATATGCGTTTGCTAGGTTGATTACTAAACAATGTAAGAGCACGGCATAAACTCTGTTTTCGATAGGCTTCTGGCGGCGACTTGCGATCACAATCATTGAGCTTACTGATGGTATTTTAAGACAACTTCAAGAGAAGTAACTGCTTATGTCTAAGTTGCATTTTAATAGTTTAAAAAGCTCGAACATCATATATACAGTAGCGAACATTTCATTTCTGGAAAATGAAGTGTTATAGCTATGAGTGTCTCTCTTTACTACCCCTGTTTCATATTAGGCAGTTCTTCATCTCAGCGGAAATATGTCCTCAGTGCAATACTAGCAGTAGGGCACCAGAAGAGCCCCATATAGCAGGAGAGGAGCTATTAGAAAACGCTTGTCAGATTTCTCTTGTCGTAGATAAATTGTAAATGAAATAAAAATTGTAATTAAGAAATCAGTAAGATCTCTCAAAGATCACAAGGAAATTGACGAGCTGGTTATAAAAGAAATCAAGTACTAAGTAGGGAAAGTACTTATGTAAGTCAATGTATAATGATCACGTTCCAACATATCGAATTTAGCATTAAAAGTTGGTTATGTATGTCTGCATAATACTTTGTTTGTGCTGGTACTCTTCCTTTATAGAGACCGACGTTGACTGCCACGCCTACACACTTCAGCTATGGTGCGGTCCCCTTGTAAGATATAGATCGTCCAAGATTTACATTTCAAAAGCGTAAATCCCACTAGCTGGAGTTTGTTGATCTGTTAGAGCTGTTGTGAGTAGGCATAGGTATCTTGCTCAAGGCGTGTGTCTTGCCTGCCGGTCAACGCAGGAGGATTGTTTACGCATGTCCACCGTATTCGGGCATTTGTTTACTTGTTTCTAACAAAACGAATTACACGCTTTACTTTCTCATTCAACCTATGCGTCATAGAGATACGAATGATACACTTCCAGTGTACCAATAAATCGAAGTGTACAATATACGAATACGTTCTTCAACTCGACCTAGTAAGGTATATACGGATGGCTCTATTGCGGACTTTCTCTTTGGCCGTGTTACCTCATTCCATACATCCTTGTTATGCTTTTTTTAGGTTTGAATGAACAACTCTGCCCGAAGTCTCGAACCAACCCCGCCCTCGCGGATTGCGTCCTTGTCGATTTGTAAGGCCTACTCCTACAGGAGGCCGCTCATTATCTCGGTAGTCGTTTCTAATCGTCAAATCGGCCATACAAACAAAACGGAAGAGTTATTGCACATACAGGTTCCTGATATTTGGGCCCTGTTAGCCCAATTAACTTTATTTTGCAAATAGATCCTATGCGGTTAATTTGTGTTGAGTAAGAACCTCCTCTTACTTTTTTCGTATCTGTAACTTGAAAATTGGCTGCCTTCGACGATTCCTGCCCACCCGGGCTTCTCACGCTTAGCAAACAGGTCGAATTCGGCGCATGTAAGCGAAGTTCTACCATTTTTTCTCAATTTATTGAACATATTACGATTTGAGTAATAACATGTCTACCACACCGCAACAAATCGTAATAAATCCGGCTCTCATTTTTCGCATGTCAGCTGTTCAATATGAGAGACGAATTCGTAATAGCTAAGACAAGATAAAACATGAGATCAAATAGACGTCTGCCAGATATGTCAGTCAGTATCCTTTTTCATTGGTAGGTAAGTGTAGTGTAGTAGTTTTCGGACGATAGCTAAAGTGTTCCAGCTAAACATAACTCATCTGCCCCTCAGTATACACAGTTCACTCTCATGCCTGGGGCGTCTGCTGCCTATAAAATCCGCTCAATCTGCTTGTTTCGTTGAGCAAGTGGGTCTTCTGGTTCGCTCGATCTTCCCCTCTGCTCGCATGTGCCTACACCAGGATCTTGCAGCTTATCTCTTGTTGCCTTTCTTCAAGTGTGGGTTTTCTCCTTCTCCTCCATTTTCGTCGTCGTCACCACCGTTGTCCTTGCTTGCATTGTGGCTATAGCTGTAGCAGTCATTGCCCCCTTCTTTGTACATAATGGTGTGTTTGGCGCTTCTAGTAGAGGACGGATGAGGGCAATCGAAAAAAGTCATGAACATGTCTGACCCAGCAACGCGTCGCCTTGTCCTGTTTAATAGTCGCGTTTTCATAGCCTCTGGTACAGTCGTTTCACAAAGCTGAAACCGAGTTGGCTACTACAGACAGAATGAAACATAGCAAAGAGATCCGTGTCTGTGAGCGTGTGTATGTATAAGTTTGCGGATAGGGGTGAGAAAGAGTAAGGAGGGGCTACCGCAATGAGCCGCCGTGACGGCTCCGAACTCAACGGCGGCGCGTCTTAGGGCTTTTTTTGTAGACAACTTGCATGGGTCTATTACACCGTACAGCCAAGTATTGCTTCATCTCAGTTTGATACATCCAACGTCGAGAAGGATCACTATGATGTTTCCAGCGGTTCATAGTCAGTAAGAAAATGGTGCGAGACACGTTTATTTGACTGAAGGATCAGTCACTCAGTCGGTTAGGACCGCCTGATGAATAGCTGAGAGAGGAGAAAGCGAAAGGAGACAGAGATGACTTCGTGTGCGTTCGCTGCGCGCAAAAGGCAAGAAGGGACCGACGCTGGAGGCGATAGGGAATTTAGTTTGAAGACAGACAAAACAAGGCGCTGGTGACGCGTTGTAAAGCGGCGGATATCGGAGGACGTGCCAAGCTAGACACCAATCGGGACAAAAAGCGATCACTGAGAACTTACGAATGGATTACTCTGGTAGTGTCTATTGACGAATTAAACAATACAGATTGGAGTTTGAAAAGTAGGGGAAAAACTGAAAGCACATAAATAAAGATGAAGAGGCGGATATATACTGATCTGATGAAGATAAACTTACGTGGAAATGACAGAACAGATATGCTTGGCCGATGCTGGACGTGCGGGCCGTTCAGTAGGCGAATATAAATCTTGAGGGTACACGAACGCAAATTAAAAGCAGTGCGTAGCATAGTTCGATAAGCAGCATGAAGGTAGTAATTAAAATGGGCTAGCACGCAAGAAGATTTCGTAGACTATACATCTGGTACTACCGTCAACGATTAAGGAACAATAGTTTTCTTTCCGTTTGCTTCTTACCGACGTCTCTGGTTGATTTAAGTAGTGTTTCCTTTATGTTTCAAGCCTAACCTGGATGACACGTGCTAATTGGTTTCATTAGTTAGTCAAAAATAGAATAAATAGCCTTGTTTAATGTAAGTGTTCCGGGCGTCAACACCCATAAATTAGGTACGCTTAAAGGTGAGCTCTTTCCGTACTTGCCTATGTGCTTAGAGCTTACCTTCTCCTCTGTATAAAACCTTCTAGAAATGTTCGACACCGCACAAAATGGCTGAAAATTATGTGTGGGGCGTTAGTTTAATTACGCCTGTCTCGTTTAAATACCACGATAACATTACCAGTGTCGACTTGGGGGGGCTTCTCATATTCCATGCGCCTGTCAATCCTAGTACTGCTGCTATGTGAGGTATGGTAACGAATCAATGCGGCATCTAGGATTTAGCAAGTAGGCAGACGCAACTGTGTTTCTTTCAGGCTATTTTTTTTTTATTCGCGTACACAAATAGACAGACGTTGCTATAGGAAACCTGTTCTCTATCTAGACCGCTCGGGCCTTGTCCCGTATCGTCCCACAGCTTTAGACGTCCCACTCGTACACACGATTGAATGAATGACTCTACCAGGGCAACTGACTGTTTGTTTCTGTAAATTAAGGCTACGCCCGCCCTCAGAATGTCCTCCACCCAAGGGACTTATCGGTTGTTGTTATTGCCGCCGTTGTTACACTGAAGGGATTTATTTAATGACTTAACTGCTAGTGAGCTGTTTCATCCGTTCGAAACAAGTTTCCATCGAAGACATCACCAGAATATCGAATCAGTAATCGAACAGAAACAGCACCAATGTGGGTAGATTAACCGTAGACGTTACAACCTTTGCCGCTGCTCCCTGTTCGCCTGTATAACGTCCATAAAGATTAGCTCCCATGGTATTTTCTACTACTTCCAGGATAAATCCAATCATTACTACAGTGCTACAATGCCAGCTGGTGTCTTGACGTAACAAACGCAAATAATTACACCAACGGAAACCCAGAATAGGGAAGCTGCGGCAGTAGTAACTACGTTGCTACACAGGTGCCTTCACGTTAGCGTGCGATTTATAAGATTTTGAGACTGTGTACCCGTTGAGCAGCTCGCGTCAATGGATGTGTGACTGTAAATCCCTTTTAACAGCATCGTATCGGGCTAGAAAATCTGATGGGTTTATTGCAAAATTCTTTAAGCTTCTTTCACAAAAGTACTCTAATGAACGACCAGTGTACGTCTAACATCTATATTCAAACTCGATAAGTCGCTCTCTTTCGAGACAAAAGTAAACAATTACAGTTAAGAACCACGAACAAATTCAATTTTACCACAATGCGCCTTCTAATCTGTTAGGGCCGATTTGTTCCTTAAA